GCTCGGGAGGACACATTGGAATGTCTGTGTGTCCCAGGTACTGTGAACAAATTGGGAGGCAGAGGTCTGTTGTGCCTGGATGGTTTGGCTTTCAGACTCTGTGGTTGGTCGTTTGCTACCCTGAGTGGCTTCTGTGGGTGAACACCCCACCTTGTGTGTGTCAGTGTTAATTGCGAAAGGCTTGGTGTCTATGGTTGTAGCCGCCTTCGTTGGTTGGGCTTCCATTCTCCGTGTGGCAGCCTTTCAAATGGCAGTATCCCGGATGGTCCGAGCCCTTGTGGGTGGACGTGTTACACCACGTGGCAGTGTTATTGGGTGGTACTGATATGTGTGTGTCAGCATCACTTTGGGCTGTTGTATTAGATGGGGGTTGCTGGTACCATCTTGGTGTATAGCGTGTGAGTTTGGTTTCCACCAAGCCTTGGGAATATCTAATCGTGGCTGGGGTTTCATGGCATCTGCCAGCAGGTCCAGGTGTGGAATGGTAGAGAAGGAGATGAGGAGGAACCGAGCGTGGGCGCGGTGGGGGGAACTCTCAGGTCCTTATCAGCCAATGAGGGTGTTTTCTCCCACCCTCCCACCCCCCCAACCTGGCCTCCAGGGGCAGGGTCGCTGTTGAAAGGGCGCCCTGTCGGGCTTTAAAGGGCTTCCCCGGCAGTGGGATTCGGGGCCATTTTTCCTTTTTTATGGGCCCAGGTTTTGGAGGGCGGGTTTCCTTCTCGGCAAACCTTGGCCCAGTAAATACCCTGCAGCTGCTGCCGGTAATTGACGCCGGAGGCGGCCCGCGCTGCGCCAGGTTCCGGAGGCGGCGGCGGCTGCAGCCCCCCAGCCGCGGCAGCCTGAGCGGGCCCCGCCGGGGATCGTTCTCCCGCAGCCCGAGCGCCCATAGAATTGGCCGGAGCCAGCTTCACCAACGCGGCGCGCGGCCGGGCCGGACTCTTCCTGGCATTTCAAATTCCGAGCGGGCCCCACCCGCCCGCGGCCCCCAAGAACAAAGCTCGCCGCCGCCCCGGCCCCGTGCCTCCCCGCGCGCGGTCAGGTGTCGGCCGTCGGGCGCCACTGTCCCCACGCCCCCCGCATCGCACGTCTCCCCCGCGGCATCTCCGCTCGCCCTCCCGCTGGCGCCCCGGCTTCGGGGACTTGGGCCTGTCCCCCTTTGCCCAGAATTTGACCTCCGGACGCCCCCTCTCCGGAAAGGCCAAAGACCAGAGATGCCGCCGGGGGCCTCCCCGCCCCCCTTCCCATCCCCAACAACAATGGAGGGCCGGGCCGCAGAGGCCGGGGCGCCCGCCCCGGGGCCGCGAGCAGGTGCGCGAGGGGGCTGCGGCCGCGTCCCGCCCCGCCCCGCCTGCTCCTCTGCGCGGCTCCCGGGCGACCGGCGCTCCCGCCTCCCGCCTTCCCCGCTCCCGGCCGGGCCCCGGCCCGGCGGCGCGCGCTCACACCCTCGGCCCAAGCCGCCCTCACGCCGAGCGCTGCGGACGGGGGCGCGCAAACTGCCGCCGGCCGGGACCCTGCGGCGAGTGCCGGAACCCGGCCGGGCGGGGCCTCCCGCGGACCGGCCGCTTTATTGGGTCACCGGCCTCGCCCACCGCCCTGCAGGCCGCAGCCATCTCGGCGGGCGCGCCGCTCGTGGCCCGCGCCCCATCCCCAGGCCTGCACGTACGTCGTCGGCGATCCGGGGCCGGGGCGGCTCCGAGGTCGGCGGAGCCGGGGTCCCACCTCCTCTTGGAGGAAGCGCCGCCTCCCCACCCGCCCGGGGCCCTCGCCAAGTGGCTGCTAACAAAGCCCAGGGCCCGGCTGCGGGGTGGTTGACTGACAAAGTCATGCCTTCCTAGCCAGCTTCCTCGTGCAGCACGATGAAGGCTGGGGCGCCGGGTTTTTACTCCCACGTCCTGCTAACTCGAGCTGACAAGGCGGGCAATCCGCCAGCGGGAGCGTTGGCAGGCCTGGGGTCAGATCCTGAATCAGCCAGTTAGTTGGTAGGAGTGGGGCCCATTTGTAGAATGAAGGTGATACCTGCCTCGTGGGGTTATTGGCATTAAATGAAGAATGTAGGGAACCTAGCACGGTTCTTGATGTCTAGGAGGTGCTCGGTGAAGGGTGCCTGTGATTCGTTTTTGTCTTTTAAATACTTTTGGCAGCACTTGAGGTGTTAAAGTCTGTGTCCCAGACTTTATTAGTCTTGTTGTTTTACGTGACTTAAGCGATTAGCTCAAACACCCAAGTACAAAGTGGGGCTAAACCCAGGTTTTCCGACACGGTTCTGCCTCCATGGCTTTATCCCCAGCTCCACCCAAAGCCTCCAAAATGGTGGTGGTATCCTAAAGTGATCAACAAAACACCAAACTGTGTTATGGTGCAACTTTGTCGATGTGGTCTCTTAGGAGAGGGAATTCTAAATAGTTAATTAGCTTGTTCCTTTCTGCGTTGTAATCTTGACCAAGAACAACGTATTGGCATTTAATGCCATTGAAGATTTAGAGATGAAGGAATCACCCTCTGAGATTCCTAAATCTGTGTAATAAAATAGTTTCTACACATAGCTATTCCAAAAAATCCCCTATCAGATATTACTAACAAGATAGATTATAGTCTGTATGAAATTTCTAGGAGTAATAAAAATCAGAATAGACCCCGTAACTCGGAGTATGTGTCTAATTTTCTCAGCTATAAAATAGTTAAAACTAAAGGCTGTTTCTCTTCCTTCCTTGATGAATGCCCTTACGTGAATTCAGCTGACACACTCAGAATGACAAAGGAGTTAGAAATTCACATCAACATAAATTGGTCCCGACTGACTCAAACCATGAGAATTCTGCCCTGCTGAGATACCTTGTCAGTATCTACCACTTAAGCAATTCTGGGTAAATGGGGGAAGAAAGAGCCAAATCAGCTTTTTTTCATTAAAAAACAAATTTTTTTTTAGAGCCGAAGTCTTGCCTTGTAGCCCAGGCTGGAGTACAGTGGCACAATCATGACTCACTGTAACCTCGAACTCCTGGCCTCGAGAGATCCTCCCATCTCAGCCTCCCAGGTAACTAGAACTACAGGTGCGGGCCACTCCACCTGGCTAATTTATTTTTAAAATTTTTGTAGGGATGTGGTTCTACTATGTTGCCCAGGCAGGTCTTGAACTCCTGGCCTCAAGCAATCCTCTGGCCTTGGTCTCCCAAAGTGCCAGGATTACAGGTGTGAGCCACCAAACCCAGCCCAAATCAGCTCTTTATAGTAACTGGTGATGTCACTGCAACAACACAAAATCTACAGGGTGCCAACTGTGCTTCAGCCACTGGATGCACTAAGATAAAACTGTCTTGATCTACACAGTCGAGTTAGACTTAACAGTTCTCAGTAATCATGATAAAATAGGGGCTATGTACCAAATGCTAGCCTAGGATATGGAACAACTAATTCTGCCTTTGGTAGCTAGGCCTCAATAAGTTTTATCTCAGTATTCTGTGGGAAGGGCAGCAAAGGAGGAGGATTTGTATCATTTTTCTGTATTCAAGAGCTATGCATTTGATTATCATCTTAGCTGAATAACACATTGCAACAAGTGCCTTTAAGCAGTATGGTTTTTAGATATTTCTGTGACGGTGTCATTCATGGTTCAGCACAAGTATGTGTTTTTTATATTTCACTTTCTCTCATTCTCCTTTCTAAAAGAAAGGAGTTTTTAAACCGGTATTTCCAAACTGCACTCTGTTGCCTTCTTATAAGAAATAATATTTGAACAAATAATACCAATCATTGTTCTACATACCGTTACCCCAGCTTCAGTTACAGTGCAGCTTGAGGATGACAGAGCTGTGTGTTGTCCATGGTCAGAGCACACTGGAGGTCTGAATTGTTATCCTGTTCTGCCACTGAAATGTGTAAAATACAGGAGGAGTGTCCCCCAAGTCATTTTTCTAAAAGCATCATCCAACTATGTAAGTACTAAGGCCTGCATTATAAAGAATAAGTCCCCTTCCAAATGATAATTAAAGGGTTTGTGTTTGTTTTTGAGACAGGGTCTTGCTCTGTCACCCAGGCTGGAGTGCAGTGGTGCAATCATAGCTCACTGCACCCTCCACCTCCCGGGCTCCAGCAATCCTCCCACCTCAGCCCCCTGAGTAGCTGGGACTACAGGTGGGCGCCACCACACCCAGCTAATTTTGGTATTTTTTTGTAGAGACATGGTTTTGCCATGTTGTCCAGGCTGGTCTCAAACTCCTGGGCTCAGGTAATCTGCCCACCTCAGCCTCCCAAAGTGCTGGGGTTATAGGCAGGAGCCACTGCACCTGGCCACAGTGACAATTTTTCTTAGCAGCCAATGAGCCTTGGAAATTAATGTGTTTGGCTTTTCAACCACAAACAAATATAAAAAAAAATCGTGGGGAAAACATTGCTAATAAATAAAACCTACCTGACGTTGCTAGCCACTATCATGTTTGTTAATTTTTGTATCGGTGATGAACCATTCACTTTTTTCTTCAGAATTATCATTCCTGAAACTGAAAGTATGTAAAGACAGACCTATTATTTATTATACAATCTGAAAAATGGAGAAATACTTATGTAATTAAAAATGATTTTTGAACAAATATTTCTTTACTTTTTTTAATGAACTGCTTCATGAATTTGTGTGTCATCTTTGTGCAGGGGCCATGCTAATCTTCTCTGTATCAGTCTAATTTTAGTACATGTGCTGCTGAAATGAGCACATTAAACAAATTCTTACCATTCATTTCATTCATCTCTTTTTTTGAAACCAGGTTGACAAAATGTCCCTCATAGATTCATTTTCAAATAAGAAGCAATTTTTAGGCCGGGCGCGGTGGCTCACGCCTGTAATCCCAGCAAACTTTTGGGAGGCCGCGAGGCGGCGGATCACAAATGGTCAGGAGATTGACGACCATCCTGGCAACACCTGTGAAACCCCGTCTCTACTAAAAAAAATTACAAAAAACTAGTCCGGGGCGTGTGGTGGCGGGGCCTGCAGTCCAGCTACTCGGGAGGCTGGAGGCAGGAGGAATGGCGTGAACCCGGGGGGGCAGAGCTTGCAGTGAGCCGAGATCGCGCCACTTGCACTCCAGCTGAGGGGCACAGAGCAAGACTCCGTCTCAAAAAAAAAAACAAAAACAAAAACAATTTTTAGGCTAGTGTGTGGTTGCTCACGCCTGTAATCCAGCACTTTGGGAGTTCTGAGGTGGAGTGGATCACTGGGTTGGGAGAGTTGAGACCAGCCTGGCTTAACACGCGAAACCATCTGTACTAAAAATACAAAAATTTATCTGCCCGTGTGTAGTGGCATATGCCCGTAATCCCAGCTACATAGGGAGGCTGAGGCAGGGCATCACTAGAACCCAGGAGGTAGAGGTTGCAGTGAGCCGGAAGATCACTGCCATTGCACTCCAGTCATGATCACAGAGTGAATCACTTCTGTCTCACAAAAAAAAAAAAAAGAGGAAAAAGAAACAATTAAAAAAAATTAATTGCCGAGTCTCTTACCTAAAGGACTCATTATACATTCTATAAATCTGTACAAAGGTTTAAGGCCCGGGCGCAGTGGCTCACACCTGTTAAATCCCAGCACTTATGATAGGCTGAGGCGGGCGATCACGAGGGTCAAGGGAGTTGAGGACCATCCCTGGCTAAGCACAGTGAAAACCCACGTCTCTACTAAAAATACAAAAAAAATTAGCTGGGAAGGCGCCTGTAGTCCCAGTACTCGGGAGGCTGAGGCAGAGAAATGGCGTGAACCCAGGAAGTGGAGCTTGCAGTGAGCCGAGATCGCGCCGCTGCAACTCTGGCCTGGGCGACAGAGTGAGACTCCATCTCAAAAAAAAAAAAAAAAAATTGTATAAAGGTAAATATTTGTGAAATTTTACATGTCCTCCGCTCTATGCTGCTTCTATCTCCCTTTAAAGCTCCCTGTAAAGGTGACATTCTGAATGTGAAGCCTTAGCCTTTCCTAGAACTTTCATAGTTTCTCAAAGATATTTGATCTCTTTATTCACGTCAGCTAAAGAGACATATTCTCACACTGACCTAAGAGAGGAAGGAAGGGAGGGAGGGAGGGAAAGGGAAAAATCCCTACAGAACTGAGCTCTATCCAGAGTTACCCTGATTCAGGGCTGTTATTTCTGCATTTACAGGAGCTGAACACTGCCCCAAGAATGCAACAGAACCTCAACTCTGTCCCCAGGTCATCAGCCACAGCTCCAAGTTTCTTCGCATCAGCTTTTTCTGAACAAAATAGTGCATCCTGCTGGAATCACTACTGTAAACTGAGTATAAAGGAAAATAAACCCTCTTTTTCTTATCCACTGTGTTCCCTACTCCCGTGCTTTTCCCAATGCTCCAGGTTAGTAGAGGCGAAAGAATTCCCCACTGAGGAGGTACTACATCCTGTACAATGTGTTCCACACATTTTAATTTCATTAAGAGAAAACAAAGATGTTTAAACAGTGAGCACTAAATGGATTAGAGTGGCAGTAGTAAATTTCCTTTGTGCCTTTCTCTTAGAATTCAGAAACCTTTAGTTGCAATCGCATTCAAAGCAATATGGGAGAGGCTTCCACAATGCCTAGCACAGAGTACATGGGGAGGAAATGCTTATCATTTTAGATGCTTATTATTTTAAACATTTAAATATTTATTATTCTGAATCTGAATGAATGAGTCAAGTTGAACCAGGAAATAAATCATAGCAAACCACATATTCAAACCCAGATAAGTTCAGTGGTTAACTGCCCTAATTCTAAGCTCCCTTCACACTAAGGCTGCTCTATGGTAATATGATTCAGAAGAAATTACTTCCATTCTCATTTCACTTCTCTGTAACTCTTTGTAACAAATTGCTTGTGTCTCCGGTCCTTGGTTCCTTCCTTTGGTGAGAAAAATATTAGCACAATGACACAACACAATTCCCCTAGATAGCTAATACATTTTCTAACTTTTTATTTAGAAACAATTATAGATTTACATGAAGTTTCAAATGATGTGCCAGGATATCCTATGTCCCCTTCACACCAGTTCCCCCAATGGTAATATTACCATATATATAAAATATTTTTCAGAGCGTGTGCCAGGCATTATATTAAGCGCTTTTTCTTTTCTTTTCTTTTTTATTTTTTCTGAGATGGAGTCTTGCTCCATCACCCAGGCTAGAGTGCAGTTGCACAATCTCAGCTTGCTGCAACCTCCACCTCCCAGATACAAGCGAGTCTCGTGTCTCAGCCTCCTGAGTAGCTGGGACTACAGGCGCCCACCACCACACTCAGCTAATTTTTGTTTGTTTGTTTTTGTTTTGTTTTGTTTTTTTGTACAGATGGGGTTTCACCACGTTGGCCAGGCTGGTCTCAAACTCCTGACCTCAAGTGATCCACCTGCCTCGGCTCCCCAAAATGGTGGGATTACAAGTGTGAGCCACCGTGCCCAGCCTGGCCAACATGGTGAAACCCCATCTGTGCTTTTATGTGCTTTTATGTGCTTTCTGATTTATTTAAAATAGGCTGTGAAGTAGAAATTGATATTACTATTTTAAAAATATAGGAAATCGAAGCTCAAAAAGGTTGGGTATTTTGACAGAGATCAAAAAGCAAATAGTGGTTTTGTCATGGTGGCTTACATCTGCAATCCCAGCACTTTGGGAGGCCGAGGCGGGCGGATCACTTGAGGCCAGGAGTTCGAGACCAGCCTGGCCAACATGGTGAAACCCTATCTCTACTAAGAATACAAAAGTTAGCTGGGCGTGGTGGCACATGCCTGTAATCCCAGCTACTCGGGAGGCTGAGGCACTAGAATCGCTTGAACCCAGGAGGTGGAGTTTGCAGTGAGCCGAGATGGTGCCAACCCTGCACTCTGAGTAACTGGTACCAGACCGTGAAGACTGTCTCCAAAAAAAAAAAAAAAAAAAAAAAAGAAGAAGCAAATAGGGAACTAGGATTCCAACATTGGATCCTGATATCTAATAATGGCAATAGAGTTTCATATCCTAACATTCATTGCCTTTTCTTGTCAAATGTACCTTTAGTCCATTTCTTTCATGTTAAGAAGGACTTCTAGTTTTCAACTGTATGGATGTGTTGGTATAATCTCTAATGTCCATTTAAGTCCATCAACTGATTCCCTTG